CGGCTGCCGGCTGAAGCCCCCTGCTGCCCCTGGAGCAGGAGGGGAGGAGGGCACGGGGCTCCAGGACACCCTGCGTGAGCTGAGTCCCAGTCAGAGGTGCCCTGGTCCATCCCAGGACACAAAGTACCGTACTGTATGCGTCGCTGCCAAGGCAGCGGGCCTGGATGCTGATGTCAGGCACACGAATAGCAGCCCAGCTCGGCCCAGACATCATGGGAAGGCCCGGAGCCTGAGGCACACCCAGCCCTGCTTCTCCCCACGCCCCGCCACTGGGCTTCCTTTGGGAGCCTGCCCTTCCGCAGCTCCCAGCAGTCACACGCACACGGTCTCAGCAGTCTCCGTCCCTCTCTCCTCTTCCCACCACCAACCAAATACCCAATTCTTTTTTCTCCGGGCCCCAACTCACTTCAGAGCACTTTTGCAAGGACTCAGAATCGTGGAGTTGTCAAGGGCTAGGTAAATCCTGTTGGGAAGGAGGCACTGTGGTGGCACCTTCAGAGACCTGTGAGTAGGGAGGAGAGGGACGGAGCCCAAGTCCAAGTCCTCCAGCTAGAGTTCTCTGCACTCGTAAGCCCACAGACCACACCCCGGAAGTGCTAGGGTCCACAGCAGTGATGGAGGGAGTGAGGGAGGGCCAAGCACCTAGTGTGGAGACACCACCTGCCCCGCCTGCTTCGTATGGCAAGGGCAGGCCTACCACTGATTAAAGGGGGAGGGAGGGACACGCACTGCTCCTTCCCTCACCTGGCCTCTCCCCTAAACCCTCCTCCTCTAGCGCCTCCTCACCATCATTTCCTCCAATGTCCCAAGGAGATTTTGCCGACCTCCTAGCTCCTACCAGCTCCCGGCTGTGAGTAGGTCGGTCTTGCCCTCACGGAGGACTTGACGTTTCCAGGGCAGTTCCATGCTCTTATTCTTCTTTGATCCTCCTAGCAGCCCTCCGAGGCAGGAAAAGCAAGGATCATGAAGTTCTCTTGAAATGAGGACAGACACACAGGAAAGCTGTTTGCTCAACGAACCATTCCAGGGACGGGCTAAGACTCAGGCAGAGAAAGCAGGCAAAGCTTCCTGGCCCAGGCGGAGGCGGCGCCCGGGACCCACAGAGCTGCTCAAGCACAGATTCCTGGTCTCTGG